GTCTAGGAAAAGGACAACTCTGAATTCAAAACCTGCGGAAGGTCGTTTGGGGACCTTGTGGCACGTAGTGCGCCAGGTCTCTGTATTCGGCCCTTCAAAAAGTGAGGATAGTCCTGCACGAAACCTTCACCCCTATAATCATGTGCTGGCGTCGGGCTGTCGGTTTCCTGGGAACTGATCTGCTTGACCCTCATACGTCGAATTCGACAGGAGAGTCGAATATATATATATATATATATATGCGTGTGTGTGTGTGTCCGTGTGTATATGAGCGTGAATATGATTTATACATTTTTATATGTCAGAACAACGTTAGAAACGTTAAGGACAACGTGTCATTTTTTATTATTTTTTATTTAAGAGCACTTCGAAGTTGTAACCTTCAATATTTATACGACGAGGAGAAGTTCATTAGGAATATTTGAAACTTTCTCCAATACAAAAAAGCTCGTAAAATATTTCAAAATGGAGGAGTGGGCCATTCTGGAAAAACCAACGAATTAATTATATTACTTTCCCTACTAACTCTATCCCAACTGCAATTGAAAAGAATTTATCTAAGTTCAGCATAAAATTTGTTACAACGACTTCTAAAACAATAAAAGACTTAATATAAAACAAAATAATAATAATCTAAAACTTGAAGGAGGAATTTACTCTATTACCTGTAATAATTGTCACAAGTAACACATAGGAGAAACCTCAAGGAATTTTTATATGAACAAAATAGTTCTTTTATAAAACAACACACTCAGTGTATTATTTGCTCATTGTAATGAGTCTGACCTTAATTTTGATTTAGAAAATACTGCTTTAATTAAAAGAGAAAGCAAGCTACTAAGACGAAAATATATAGAAAGTGCTTTAATCGCGAGAACATCCACAGTAAATTTACGTCCAGGTGCTTACAACATTCACTTTTCTCGGCAGATCTTCTTTTATCCCAAATGTGGGATTGTTAATGATAAAAAGTGATAAAAAACAGAAACAAAAGCATAACAACTTAAATTAAAATGGCGACGCTATATACCAGGACGTATCTAAATAAAAACAAATTTTAAGATTTTAAAATTTTCAATATTTCCAGCGTTTCCCTACCTAAGCTTAATTATAACCATCATTTACACTTATATATTTCTCTTCTCTTTCATGTGGAAAACTAAATTGTTTTGTACAGTGCCTGGCCTGTTTTGTGAACTCTGTTCAGTTTGTTGGTTTTTACGTGACAGGTGAGACCGGGGCGAGTTCTGCAGATTTTTCTGACACACCCTGCATGTTGTTATTTCTAACGCAGTACTGATCGTCATTTGTTAAAGGTATATCGATATGACTCATCTTGTGGCTAACGAGGCCTGCATTGGAAAGTTATTCTCGGACGCATTCATCACAAGTAAATTGCTGGATCAATTATTTTTCTTTTGCTAGCTGCACGCTTGACATTGGCTCAGTATTACATCTTGGAAGATCTTAGAGCATGCACGAATTATGTATATCGAGCACAAGCAGCACTCATGACAGTTTACATGGCAGGCTACATGAGACTATTTTAAACGGTCCCCGAAGCGCTTCTGTGGTTTATGCTGGGTTCTACTCGTCATAGAGCGTTTGCCTGGGTAATCGACTGTCGTCAAGTCGAATGACAATACAACCAGAGAAGCACTGGGCTTTACGAGTGTCTGTTGTGTTGTATAAGTAGTAGATACGAAGAATCGATCTTAAACGTCGTTGGTGGGTACTCTCCAGAGCGTCTTAGCGTCTGTGGTACACGGCCCATATCTTATAGTAGTACAGCAGGCATGTCATGTTCCTGCAAAACTTTCGACCTCACTATCAGTCTGTAAAAGACAGTGGCCATGTTTCAACCTTCACCGAGTTCACCTTAGATCGAACCATCATTGTATGAGGTTGGCCACAAACCAAAGATCGTAGTCAAAATCATATACATTGGGAGCGCTATAAACAGAGAGTGAATTCTTGATATCGGCTCATGTGAAGCTCTAAAAGCACTGATCTCGGAAGTGCACAAATATGACAGTCTAAAATTCCCGTGCGCAGACGTGCCTGCTCCACTATTGGAACTTCCGGTGGCCTTCTCCATGTTCAACTTGCTGATAGATGGTTTTACTATCTTCAAGGCAGATTCTTTGCTGAAGGTGATTAAGAGCAGATTGGTCCATCTGACTATCCGCCTTGATTAGATCCCTCAAAAGTTCTTTCCATCTGTTACTGATTTCCAGCATGATACTAAGGAGCTCCATGTCACCTTTTGATCTAATAAGCGTTACTGAAGCCGTTCTTTGCCCAACGGCCTGCTTCACATCACTTTACTATTCTTCCTGTCTGAATGTGTCTTCCATCTCTCGTATATATACTAAACACACACGGCTTACGGCTATATCACGTTGAAACACCGGTTCCCGGACGATCACCGAAGTTAAGCAACGTCGAATCTGGTCAATACGCAGATGGGTAACCACTTGGGAAAACCAGGTGTTGTAAG